TAAGTGCACACCTCCCTAAATGTAATAACATCACGTCCTTTCTCCCCTTGCTGCTCCCCACCTTTCCCATATCCTTTTCCTGTTCCCTCTCAAATCCACGGTTCTTCTTCCTTTAATCATTATTTTTAGACACATACCTGCATAAATATATAAATTTTACTTGCTGTCTTTCTTTTAGTGTTGCTTGCCTGTATATGACTTCAAGGCTGGCCACATGGTCCTGGATAACCACCTAAGTGACTCATCCCTGAGGAAGACTAATTTCTCTCTGGCTCAGCATTTCTTAGTTCTTTGTCAAAGAGTGTAATTTTTCTATCCAAGTTAGCAGGCCTATTGTACTAGTTTAGGTCTTGTTTAGGCAACCATATTGTAGAGGTATCATGAGTGAAGCTTCTCTGTCATTTATAGGACTCACATTCTTACAGCCGATGTCCTGGTCCTCTGGCTCTTATGATCACTAAACTTCCTCTTCCATGATGTTTTTGGGGTATTGTATTATAGATATATCCATTGGGGCTGGACACTCCACAGTTAGTTGTTTTCTGCATTTTGACCTCTTGTGGTTCTCATAATTGTTTTGTTGCTTTCAAACAGAAACAACTTGGATGGGGGGTTAAGAGTCAGTATTTAGAGTACAATTAGGGATGATGCTGCTTTAGTAAAGTGGTTCTAGTAGGTCCTGTGGAGATCCATGACTTCACTAGCCCTGGTAGTATAAAATAAGTCAAATATTTTTTTCAACCAAGCAGAAAATTAATTACAGAAGAAACATATATAAACTTAATTCCAGAATGTGACAGATCCTCTGCAAAAAAGAAAAATAAAACTCTTCAACTACATCCATCCCTGATAGAATAAGACAAGATCTCACAGCAGGTTGTTTACATTTAGCAAAGTTTGTGGTGATTGTGTATGGCAAAGAGCCCCAGCTACAAAAGACTGCACTACTCACAAGCTTTAATAACAGAGAATCTGAGAAGGACCCCTAAAGAGATGCTGCAGCATCCCTTGAATACAAGGAGTGGGAAATGGCCCCCACAAGCTCCTAGCTTTGAATGCTTGGTCACCAGGGAGTGACAGTATTAGAAGGTAGAAGGTGTGGTCTTATTGGAGTAGATATGGCCTTGATGTAGGAAATATGTCACTGCGGGTGGGCTTTGAGGTTTCAAAATGATCAAGCCAGACCCAGTGTCTCACTCTCTGCTGCCTGCCCATGTAGAGGAAGAACTCTCAGCTACCTTTCCAGCACATGCCTCCTTGTATATTGCCATGCTTCTCATCATGACATTAAGGGACTAAACCTCTGAAACTCTAAGCCTGACTCAATTAAATGGTTTCCTTTCTAAGAATTCCATGGTCATGGTGTCTCTTCACAACAAAACATTGACTACAGCAGTCACTGTGACAAAATGTTGCAAAGTCTTTGGCCATATAGAAAGCAACAGCAGCCAAAATGTAAATACGGAGCATGTGAAAGCTGGGGAAAGCACTTTTAAGCTATAATGGCTTGAGCTACCCATGTTACCTGCATGCCCTGAAGAGGTCCTACTGAAAGAGATTTGGGTGGAAAGGAAAGGCGAAATATAAATCCTAAAGAGTCAAGCAGTGACCATAAAAAGCTGGCAGCTCTCTACTAACAACAGAACTCTCCTGAGCCCCATCAGGGCACAGACTTCACTCTGTGCTGAAGATGAAGCTGTGATCTGACCATCAGTATATTTGAAGTCAGTGATCATCAGAGGCTAAGAAGGCCACTCAGATAAGAACTGTGTACTCACTCTACAGATTAGTTCTTCTCAACCACCATACCTGGTGGTTTTCTGAAAAGTGTGTGCCTTATTGTGGGATAAATACTGATTATTTCTGTCCTCTAGTACCATGCAAAGAAGACAGTACTGTTGCGAGATGCAAGAAAAGGAAGAATAGGAGAGCTCCTCAGTCAAGGAAGGAACATCACAAAGAGGCAGACCTGGAAATGTTCCCAATGCTGAACTTGTCAGTTATGACTGTTTAAATAACTACAATGATCTTTCTATGAAACCTACTAAGAGGGTTGACCAGCAGGCATAAAAGGAGAAATTTCATCAGTAAAATGGAAGTAATAGTAAAGAAAAAGATAAAAAAGAGCTATCTAAAATTATGTACACTGTTAGGCATGGGAACACATGCCTATAATCATAGCACTTGGGAAGCAGAGGCAGGGGCCTCTCCATGAGTTTGAAGACAGCCTGGTCTACATGGTGAGTTCAAATATAGCCTGGACTATGTAGGAAGAAACTGTCTGAATATATGTGTGTGTGTATATATACATAGATAGATAGTAGATAAAATTATATAGGATTAGTAGTAGAAACAATAGAGTAAGGAATGAATCAGTCAATTTAAAAAAACGGGTCAAAATTACTTCCACTAAAAGGAAGAACAAAACCAATTCTCAAAATCAACACTAAGCTGTAGAAAGACTAAATCCAGCTCTTTTGTGTATTCATTTTTTTAGCTCTGCTTTGAGCTTTAGCTGATATTATCGCATTAATCCAGAATTTATGTGATTTAATTTCCCATTGAAGGTGACAAAGAATGAGACAGCAAAAATATATGAAGCCAAAAGTGATCTTAAGTTGATGAAGGGAGGCAAATGCCAGATTCAATAAGGCTTGAAATGCTCAGGAAGAAAAATAAATTAATAAAACATAATATGTAGAAGCACTAAAAACCAGTTTTAACAGAGTAGTACTGGATACAAGGAACTAAAAATGTTGGGAAAATATATTCTACCCAGGAAAATGAATAAAGAGAAGAAATGGACAGGAGACGGTTGCACAAGAATGCAGAGAGTATAACTCATTCTCATGAGAAAGGAAATACTTTGACTGTTTTATAAAAATTGGGAGGTAACTGCCTCTAACATTGGTGATTGCTGGACTGGCACATGAGGGTATTTTTATGGTGATAAATGCTTTCATATGGTTTAGATGAAGGTAACAGGTCTTTGCACAATTGCCCATATTCATTGAACATGATCACCTCAGTTTTAAATACATTTTAAATACAGTTTTAAATGACATTTCTGTAAAAATAAAATAATATAGAGACATAAGCAACAATATTTAGTGATCATGTGATCTTGAGTTAAAACCTCAAGATAACTGTCTTAGTTAGGGTTACGATTGCTCTGACGAAACACCATGACCAAAGCAATTTGAAGAGGAAATGCTTTATTTGGCTTACACTTCTGTATCCTTGTTCATCATCAAAGAAAGTCAAGATTGGAACTCAAACAGGACAGGAACCTGATGCAGAGGCCATGCTTACTGGATTGCTAACCAAGGCTTGTTCAACCTGCTTTCTTGTAGAGGCTAGAACCACTAGACTCACAGATGGCTCCACCCACAATGGGATGCACACTCCTACATCAATCACTGATTAAGAAAATGTCACAAAGCCGTGCTGATAGCCTGATCTTAGAGAGACGTTTTCTCAATTGAGGCACCCTCTCCTCTAATGAGTGTAGCTTGTGTCAAGTTGACCTAAAACTAACCAGGAGAATGATGATAGAAAAAAGTCTCATAATCTAATGGAGCTGTGAGCACATCACCCGATCAGCTTGCATTCTTTGACACAGGATTCATGCCCACAATACAGGAAGGAGCCACTACACAATGCTGGCCACTCCTTCTGCTTTGTGGAAATAAATTCCCAAGGAAGTTCTTTATTTTGGGGGGCATGATTGTATAATAACTTAAGGATACCAAGAGAAATTGTTGGTGTCAAAAGACGCATATATAGTGTATGCCTATAATCCCAGCATTCTTGGAAGCAAAAGTAGGCAGACTTCTGTGAGTATGAGGCCGGGCTGGTCTACAAGGTGAGTTCAGCATAGCCAAGGCTATAAAGAAAAAAAAAAACAAGACAAAAAAGATGCATATATTCCTGTAATGAATAAATATTTATTTAATAAAATACTAAAACTGAATTGATGGTGACTTAACCTATTAGAATGGTAGGTTGCAAGAATGATGATCAGGCATGGGGACGAGATGGCATTCTTAATATATTGTACCTGGTAGTATTGATTAACTTTGACCTGTTCTAACTACAGCAAAAAAGTATCTATAATGCAAATCATTGCAAACAAATAGGAATTTATATATCATATGTTTTTAAGAGAATATGCTATTTGTATTGAAAGTTGTTACCGAATTTATATAATGTTAGTGTTTGCTCATAAAAATCTCTCATCTAGGCCCAGAGGGGCTGGCAGAGACTGATATAACAATCAAGGACCATGAATGGAGAGGATGTAGACCCCTTGCTCGGATGAAGCCATAGGCTGCTCAGTTTCCAAATAGGTTCCCTAGTAAGGGGAACAGGGGCTATCTCTGACATGAACTCAGTGACTGGCTCTTTGATCACCTCTCTCTGGGGGATGTAGCCTTACCAGGCCATAGAGGAAGACAATGCAGCCAGTCCTGATGAGAACTGATAGACTAGGGTCAGAAAAATGGAAGGAGGTCCTCCCCTATCAGTGGACTTGGGGAGGGAAATAGGAGAAGAAGAAGGAGGATGGGTGGGACTGGGAAGACACAGGGGAGGGGAGCTGCAGCCAGGATACAAAGTGAATAAATTGAAATAAATAAATAAATAAATAAATAAATAAATAAATAAATAAATAAATAACAAAATATCATCATCAAATGTCAAATCTTTACCCATTTCATATCATGCAGGGTCAAGTACATTTTTTTAACGTGAAAGATAAAATTCTTGTAGTGATTTTTAAGCTGCTTTGCAATTAAGATTGGAGCATAAATGCTAGGGTTAATAGTCATTTCTTTTAAGAAAATTGAAGGAGAGTCCACATTGCAACAGTCACTGCTGTTTTCTTTCATTTACTAAAGTTCTGCTCAGCTTTCTGAGTGTGACTTTCAAGAATAGATTGTATATAACTGTCAGTGCAGATATAATGAAATATTCAACCTTAGTATTCTGTGTATCTTCAGATACTCACACCAAAGAGCTCCCAACACTCCTCCACTGTGCCGCCAAGTTTGGCCTTAAGAATCTGGCTCTTCACCTGCTGCAGTGTTCAGGAGCAGACTGGGCAGCTAGGATGAAGGATGCAGATGGCTCAGACCTGCTTCATATTGCTGAAAGGCATGGTCATGAAGAACTCAAGAAAGTCTTCGAAGACTTTGTGGTAAGATTCTCCCTCTCCTATACCTGCAGCTGGTTCTTTATTCATGCATGTATGTAAACATGAATACATTTCTATTTGGAAAACCGTGTCCTCCCACAGCTAGTAACGTTGTGCCAGATAAAAGTGCCTGTCTGTCTGTTAGCCTGAAAATCCTGAGGAGAGAGACCATTTGCACAACTATCCAATTAAACCAAGCTGTATTCAGTACTAGCTAGGAACATGGACATTGACCAGGTCCATGCCTGGTATTCCCCGAGAAACGACCTCAAATTTAGGTCAGTTGGGTGCTCATAAAAACACCCCTCCCAACACACAAAGCTATGGTACTTTCCAGCCTTTATCCAGTCGGGCATAAGCATACATCCTGAGGTACTTCCTGCCTATGTATCTGTCCGCTATATGTGACCAAGCACATCTGGTGCCGTTGGGCCATTCAAATCTGTTTAGGGTTTGGGAAACATGTGGCTTGTTATATGAAACATCTTCCATTTTTTTTCATAAGATTAGTGAACTTTTCCAGTTATTTATATAACCCAACTCTGACCCCCACCCATACTCATCTGTCTTTGAATCCAATTTGTCTTTCTGACATCTAGGGAACCTATTTCGTATTGGAGAAGAGATGACAAAAAGACAAACTATCTTTGTATCTTTGCTAGATATTATTAAATACATGCAAACAGATAGTAAATGTTGGAGTAAAGGAAAACATTTTAGCAATAATTCAGAAAATCTGCTCAATAACAATTTAATTGACATTGCTTGAATTTGTTTCTCTTGTTCATTTCCTTCTCTTTCCCTGTTGAGTGTCCATTTGTTATTGTTTCCATTTCAACCTCAAATTTCAGAACATTTTAGAAAGATGGTAGTTTAATGAGAGGACAAGAAGTGAAAGACTTTATAAGAGAGTGACTATTGCAGTAAATAAAGCTCACATACTGTGTTCTCATAACCAAGTTTAGAAAAGCCACTGCTTTGTAAGAAAAGAAGTGCACATTTTGTCTCGGAAATTGAATTTTACTTGTGAAGGGACTGGAGAAAGTTGAATGTGACAGTGATTATGCCAGTGAGGATGCCAAAATTTAGGTTCTCGCAACTAATATAATTGTATCGCCAATCAGCTGTTAATGTAAAAAATAATGTAATATTATAAATGCGTTCTGGCTATTTTAGCCCTTAACTGGGTATCACAGAGATTCAATCAAATAATTGGGCTTATAGAAATGACGGTAATTTATAGTTCCTAAAGAATAACATGACAAAAATCAATGAAGCGCTTTTCTCCATTTACCAGGAGTATCAAAATATTATCAGGAGTTTGTGAATGCCGTCCGCTCTCTGATGTTGCGATAGAATGTATTTGCACATATTCAAAAACACGGAGCATGTTGTCCAGTAGGGAAGTGCAGTTTTCTAGTGTAAGGCCTTCAGTCAGAGCATACCTCACCTGGATCCTGGTGCACTGTGGACAGTGACCGTCTCACGTGCTGATAAGTGTATTTGTTTCGCTCTGCGCTCTCTATACGAGGTCCTTGATCAGAGGGTATAATGCGTGTCTCAGGTAAGTCGGACATATTAGCTTTATATGACCTGTAACACGGATCTGGTACTGACTGGTCCTCAAGGCTTCTAGACACGATTCTCCAATTTCAGTCTCTGGTGAAGTTTGGTTAAATCTTTATCACCTACAGTTAATTTCAAAGATAATACTCAACTTTCAAAGCGATAGTTCTAATTCTTTATTTCCCTGGAGATGTAATTTTTATTTTAGAAGCCCCGTGAGACTTGAGTGTACCTGCTAGACAGCAGTGTAGGTCATGTTGGTGACTGTCCTTACAAAAGACAGTATAGGGCTACAACAGGAAGACCGACAGGCACAGGGTTTTGTTTTGTTTTTCTTGCATGCTTTTGGTATCTATGTCTCTGCTTCTGTAGGTATGTCACTGATTCAAACAGTTTGCTATCATGGTCTTTGGGTGACTATTCACTCTGTGATACCAGCTTATTACTAACTTGTTGGGTTTAGCTTGATCACTGTTGCATGAAATTTGTGACGTGATTGTATATGCTATTTGTAAGTGATCTTTTTGCTAGACTGTTTCTAGAAGATTTTGTCATTATAGACTAGACCGATATCAATCTGTGATCATCCTGCCATGCTGAGAATGTGGCTGTGGCTGTGCCAGCAATGGCAGAACTGTAAATGCATTTCAATGACTATGGATAACTTAAGCTATAATAAATTTTAGAGCAATCAAATCACCTCTTGCAAAGGTGTGGTTAAGAAACTGTAAATGTACACAGGATGTGGTGACTCTTGTGGAAAGCATTTCTTGTGATTTGCAGGTTACATAAATTATTTCTTTAGTTATCAGTTTTGTACAAACAAATCTAAGAGGTCCATGATAACGCTATGCAAAATAAACCCATGTTACTGCTATCTATTCCAAGTTATGTTAGCTGTGTATTTAAGTGTGTGTCTAAACTGAGTAGCAAAACAAATTGAATTCTCATTATGTTGTTAAAATATCTTATTGTTTCTTAAATATTTATACAACTGTAGTACTGAGTCATTTTCTAATCTGTCATATATGTATGTATAAATGTATGCATATTTATTCATACATAGCCTCAAATTGTTCTCAAACTATTTTCCTTAAAGATTGGGAAGCAGGCACTGTTCACGTTTGCAGCTTGCCATACAGCAAAGGACCATTTGGTTTACTGGAGAAATATTACTTGTCACTACAAACATAATCTTGCCTTGGCCAGTTGACCAATTTATTCTATTCTTCTTAATATTTCATCAGTTGACATAGGTGATGGACAGGGAGTTATATTAGTATACGGGCCATAATAAGGGAAAAGAAGATTATTGTTTTAGAATAATATGGACAAAGGGCATTATCTGGTATTCGTAAACCAGTTGCATCTTTTTCATGATGTTAACTATGTAGAGGCACAGAAGGAGGAACAAGAGAAGTTCTTAAATCATACTTTTACATTTTATGACTTTTTTCTATGAGAATTAAACAATTTATACTTAGCTTATGAACAGTGATTTCCATTATGAAGCGCTTTTGGGTTTTGATAAAGTTATTGAATACTTTAATAGTCACTGTGACAAATGCCTATCTAACAGGATGCATCTTCGGTGGAGAGATTGACTGTAGACTTACAGCGTGAGGCTACCCGTCTGCCCTGATGCCCATGGTGACAGCAGTGTAAAGCAATTGCTGGGTCACATCTCAGTGGTATGGGGAGGACACAAAGGAAAATTTCTGTACCCCATTACCTTTCTCTCTTCTCCTTTCTCATTCAATAGGGACCCACAGATCATGGGATAGTAACCTCACATTCAGAAAAGGAATTTTCCCCCTTAATTAATACTCTTATAATCACATCGAACAGTATAGTTCCAAAGTGCGGTTTCATCACCCAGTCATGTTCACAAGCAAAATTAACCATCATGGCTGCCTAATGCCTATATTTCTCTCAGGTTAGTCTCTGTCTAAATGGTTTCCCCAGGAGCCAGTAGACTGGACACCCTGCACTTATTAGAATTACTAGGCCTCAAAAAATAAACAAAATATAAATTTAGGAATGAGAACGGTTAGGTAGATAAGGGTAGAGATGGAGGAGGGCAGTGAGGGGGTTATGAGATCGTATTTCATTGTATAGATATATGAAAATTAAAAAGAATAAAAGCTGTACATTTCTATAAGTTACAAAAGATTTTAAATCATAAACCATGGTTTAGTTTCTGACAATGTTTACCCTAGGCATGACTTTGAAAGGTGGATGTACAAAAGGGGAAAGGCTTGGTGATTAAACCTACAACTGGATATAAACCACAGCTTGCTTAGCAGAATTCTTGAAAAAGTTCTCAACAATTGAAATAGAAGATAAGAAGCACTGTAGATTAGTTCAAGGATATAAGAACTTAATTAAAATAATAAAGAATAAAAATTGAAAGCAGACTGGAAGCTGGCATCAAAGTGAAATGATTTTGAGATTTATAATAAAACATGCAGCAAATGCTGTGTTTAAAGAAAAATAATATCAGTAACACATTCTAGCAATAATTTGTCACCCCATTCATCTCCATCAGCCAAAAGCCTTTAACAAAATGGTTACATTGAAATCCCAATAAACAAGGACAATAGATCCTCTGTTTAAGAAGTAGAAAAGCAACATATACTTATTTTTGGAATGACTTTCAGAAAATATCTTTCTTTCACTGCAAAGTTTGTTAATGTTGTTTGGTGCAAATATTAGAAAGCTTTAAACTGTAAAGGTTCTCTAAGAAATGCTGTGAAACGGGAAAAATTGATTTCCAAGTATTGTCACCAGAAGTTCCGAAAATAAACCAGTTGTTCACATCTGTGGTTAGGGTCCTGTGACACCTTGTCTACTAGCCATGCTGGCCCGTGCACTGCAGGATTAAGTTAGGAGTGTATAGGTGGTAGGTGCTTGGGGGGGGGTGGCCTGAAAGGGAGAGAGATCCTGTTGTGTGTAGAGTCTATCTAATATATACTTTACTTTAAAGGCCTGGAATAAAAGTGCAGAAAGGTAGTTGTGGGAGTACTTTGCACAACCCTTAGTATAAAGTATCATTTGGCTAATTCAAAGAATTTCCTACTCACCGGTCAGGTTTGTGCTCGAGCTGTGACACTCACTCTTCCATTATTCTGTCATTCAAAGCATTGGAAACTTAGCACTTCCTATGTAGTATTTTGTTCTTGCATAAATGGTTCCATTTAATTTAGTATACATTAGTGTTACATGTATGAAATTGAAGCTATCCTACTTGGCCTGCGGTTTTTTTTTTTTCTTGTATTTATCTGAAGGCTCACAGTGAGACATCGCTGTCTTCTTACTGGCAGTTGCTCAGACTATATTTACTCTTTGATGACGGCAGAATGTAAGTGTTCAGTTTAATAACCTGTTTGCTCTCACTTAATGGTATCTTTAACCATGTTTCAATAAACTAACCGGTT